CTCTCTGTTCGATATGGTTTATTATAACGAAGATTGGTTAGCGAGAAAATTATCTGATAGAGGAGATTTTTTCTTAGGTGAAACAGTTAGGTGTTGACTGAGCGAAAGAGGGTTAGAATTATTGCAATGATTAAATTTTCATTGACGATTTTTTTTTTGTCGATAACTGTTTTTCAAAATTTTTATATTCCTTTTTCTACTGTTATACGAAGACAGCAGCAATTTTCAAGGAGTCCTACTGCATATACCTAAGAAAAATCACCAGCTTCCCAAACACTGCCAGTACACCGTCCTCGTAATATTCCCGAAGGATTCTGGAAAAAATTTAGGCACCGAGTGAATTATCTCACGGTGATTTATTCAGCCACATGGTTGGCTCTCGCGATTTTTCAACGGCACGACGTCTGCGGTGCATTGTGATTGACTAATACCGCTACAGCGCTTTAACCTTCTGAAGGTAGAACACAAGAGGTGTGCCACACCCCCGTTTCTCTCTCTCCCTCTCTTCGTAAACCACGGGAGATACAGCAACAATGGCCTCCGTAGATGGAAGATTGCACGGAAAGGTGCAACGTTCACGTGCAAAGGTCGCCGCGGTTGAATCGGGTAAACGAGGATAATGTCGCGGCCCAGCTATCATAGGTGAATTTTATTGCCGTGAAAAAGAAGGTTAGGTCGCATCGTAAACGCGTTTTACACGCGATCGTAGGAGAATTGGAAATCTTGATGCATTCGAAAATTGACTGCATTGGTACGTTAAGAATGTACAAAACTTGTTAAACGCGACAAAACGCGAAGAAATGTGATCTATGAAATGTGACGCTTGCAGAGAGCAGTCGCGGTATTGTATTAAACTAAATACGCCTAGTGAAGATTAATCGACGTAAGTTAAATGAAAAGAAACGAATAACGAAAATTCGTTCAGCGAAATGACAATCTGTGAATCGTATATAAACTTGCAATCTGAAGAACAGAGAAACGAAAGGAATCGTAATATGCGTGTAAAATGAATGCTCGTAGATTCATACTTGAAAATTGTTCAACTTCCTTTCGTAAAACGCTGTCTAAACCCTAATATGGAAATTACTACTTGTTCGCATATATTTATAAGGCGCATTGTACAACGCATATTACGGTTCATGTAAGTTGAAAAACGGGAGGTCGTGGGAAAGTGATATTTCTAATTGTTCGAACGATATACCGTAAAACGTATTCGGAAGTAAGGAAGAAAACGATAATGTTAGGTCGCTCCGTAAATTCCTGCCTAATACAAAAAAATGTTTGAACGAAAATCCAAGGAAATTCAGTGTTGGAAAGAAAAAGATATTTTTTACACCAAATTTGAAGATTCCACGGAAATATACTGATCTAAATTATAAAATTGAAATTTTTAACGATAAATTACCGATTGCAAAATTTAAATTATAAAATTTTAATTTCACTGATAAGTTGCAATTGCGAATTGCGAAATTTACAAACTTACGAGACGACCCAATAACAGCCAAGTCTCCCCCTCGAGGCATAAAAGAACAGTCGAGCAACATTGATATCCGGTAAAAGCGTTAATGGAGGTTTGAGTAAATTTCCTCTCGGCGGAGGAGAATCAATTATCTTTGATAAATACGACTCGTAAACGAGGATCGTCAATCGTGATTCGCTTAATCGTAAGCATAATTATATCGTTACCGCTTGATTCGATGATGTGAAATGTTGGGAAAGAAAGTCATCGCGCGCTGATTTTTGTTCACGTTGAATAATACTCAAGATTACTGTTGTATTATAAGACGATATTCCTTCTAATTACTCTACACTGCGTTCTTAATTTAACGTTACTCTCCCCTTCTCTCTCATAAACTATTTCCTAGATATGTTCTAATTGTTAGACACGACGAGACAACGGAGTACCCGTCCGTAAATGTTTAGAAGTCCTTGTTGTTTAAGGTGGTGAATCCAATTCCAAGGTTACCATGGTAACGAAATATTATCTGCTTTAAGAGAAATATTTCCAACGAGATGATATAAGTAAAACGAGATAAATAATAAAATAAATAATACTCATACACAGGCCTGCACGGTGCCTGAAAAAAGCGACGTGGGGGCGAGAAAGCTTGCTTTTCAGCCCAGCTAATTATTATCACAACTCCAAGAAGGATAGATTCTTTTCTTTTTTAATTATGTTTGTTAATTAAACGAAGATTATCGAAAAGTTGAAAAAAAAAAGAGTGTTTAATTAAAGAGTCTCAACTATGTATATAGGGAAAACTGTACGTGTTGGCCTATCCAGTACAAAAACCAGAATCGTTATAATATTATAGATCACAGATTATTGTGTTATGTGAATAATTACATTTTATGTTGTTAAAGAAATGTGTATATGTACATGTATGTACACTGTCGCGCTCGGGAATATTTACCAGCCTGCTGCTTTCTTTCTTTTTATTTATACGAAAATGTGATAAATCTTTGGAAAAAGGATTCTTCTGTTTTTTCTTTTGTTTTTAATTATAAGATAGACGATTGAATCGAGGATATGTGAAAATGAAGACGAACAGGTGGGCGAATACCTGCGTGCGGCAGTGTATATACATGCACACATACATATATACACAGATATGTATGCATATAATGTTAACACCAGCTCTCTCTTTCTTTTTTTGTTTCTTTTTTTCTCTTCTTTTCCCCTTTATCTCTTTTCCCCCCCCCCCCCGTTCTCTCCCCGTCTCTCCCGAATCTCTTTCTTTTTCTTTACCTTTCTACTTGCTGCTCTCGCCATGCAGCTAGAGAAGATTATTTGTAGAGGATCGTTTTTGTTTTGTACTTAAGAGTGCTCGTACGCGCCCGAACTATGTTTTGTACTACGTGAAGAATGGCAATAAAGTAGTTGACCAATTCCTTTTTTTAAATTCCACGTGTGTAAATTGTATTTCCTCGCGGTACGAACACCGTAGAAACCCTTCGTCCATACCCCTCGATGCGTTTTAACTTTGTTTCAGGGGAGGACGACCGTGATGAGAAGTAAGTAGAAATAGAAATATACAGTATGGAATATGTGAATTTTATTTCTACGACAAAAGGCCTCGTGCCTTTTTCAGGGCTCCCTTAACACGTTAAGCGCCATGTCAGTCACCGGCGACTGACACTATGCCTTCCGTTCAGGCCGCAACAGAAGACGACTAACGAAAAGTACACTGTCAGTCGCCGGTGACTGACGCGGCCTAAACGGAAGGCATAGTGTCAGTCGCCGGTGACTGACAGTATACTTTTCGTTAGTCGTCTTCTGTTTATAGTTCGCATGGCCCACTTGACGGCCAAGTGTGGCCTGAACGGAACGGTAAGCAAAACAGACTGGGTGTTTAACGTGTTAAGTAGCCCCTTTTCCCTGGGACAGTCCCAGGAAGTGGGGGCGCGGGCCTGCATTGCCGAGGCAATACTCTTGTCCCCGAGGACGAAGAAACTCGGAGATGTTTGGAAAAACATCTCTCGATTCTTCGCCTCGAGGGCCAAGAGTCGCCAGGACTAAGTGTGTGGGTACAATGATGTACTTAATAATTGATACTAATGTTTAACGATATTTTCAAAATTTCTCAGAATTCAAAGCGAAATAAATTGAAATTAAAGGCTTCTCGTTATTTGCAACGAAATGCGCAAAACCCAAATTTATGAACAGCAATGTGCATACACGTGCGCTACAAAATTGCTATCCGTATCGTTTTCTTATTCGTTCCCCGAAGAAGAAGGACACTAAAGAAAAAAAAACGGAAACAGCTGAAGAACCGTGTTACAGTTTAACGCAAACCGGTGCACATATCCCTAACGCTTCGTGAACACCTCCATAGAAGTTTCTCTTCACCGCGAAAGCCGTTTATTATTTCGAAGCAAACTTTAGACACAACTTAGACGCAGTCTAATAAATATGCTACGATACAGCGTATAATTTACGCTTGCTGCAATTTCCGTACAAAAAATTGAACGAGAAGTAGTAATTAATGAAATATATTATCAAGTTGGAGGAATAAATGTAAATTCAGATTTACATAGACAAGTGTTTAAAATAGTAAATACCTATTTCAGATCAACAATAAAATACTGTTCTAATTAGTTTCAATTAAATATTCTGGTCCGTATTTAGATAATTATTATATTATATAACTGATCGTGTTTAATCACATTACGGTTACTTTGGACGTGGGTTTCCCCGTTTAAAAAACAAAGCAGCGAATTAATTGCCTGCAGATTTGTATTTTAGTTCTCGTACGGAGTTCGTAAAATCACCTAATATCGTATATTCACAGTTGCTGTCACGTGAAACAACTGTAACTTAAATAACGATTAACACGATGGGAATCGACAGAGATCTACTGACACTAATTAAAAGAAAAACGTTTAAATTGCCACCAGAGATATATCGTTAACTTCCCATTTAGTACGAATAAATTAACCCTCGCTCGACGAGCAAGTCATCGTGACCCTACTGTTGCAAAATGATCGCCTGACCGTAATTTATACTCTTGTCGCTCTAACATAAACAACGACGTGTTGACATTCCTCCCATACCTTTATTGTCTAACGTTCACCACGGCATTTCGAAAAGCAATAACAACAAATTCCGTGCGAAGACTTTAAAACCGTATATACACTACCGGCCAAAAGTTTCGAATCACCGAGCATCGCAATTTACACAATTTCCAGAAAAATGTCGAGCGACTTTGAGAATTTTTCATCGTTCGAATCAGTTGATAAATGTAGAATTGAGATAAACTTGAAAAGTGGTAGGCGAGACTTTTGGCCGGTATAAGAAACTTTTACGGTGGATCCAAAATATCGCTGTTCGAGCGTTACGAAGCATACAATGCGAGTTATCTATATTACAGATCATTGATACGCACACAACAAACGTTTCATCACACTCCACGCTGTAGGTGAGAAATTTATAACGAAGCATTTTTTTTTTTTTTAAATAATTTATTCACCAATATGAACAAATAGATCATGTAGCAGGCTGTTGATAACGATATGAGCGCAGGTTCACGACGCATTCGTAGGGAGTTTGATCGAGTTTCGATGACAAATAGCTAACAAGTGGTACAGTTCGTAGTATTCATATCCAGCTCCTTAAATTAACGAATTCGACAAATTAATGCAGTTGTCAAGCATACAACGCTTGAAGATAGAATTTAGGGTGAAAAATATTGTTACTTTTATTTCGCGGTTAATCTGCAGTTGAAACAACCTTTCGCGCAATTTTAAAGCCATTTTTGTAAGGCTGATGAATCACGAAACCAGGGAAGCCTCGTTCCTCCGTTCGTGATTCTTTCCAAATCATCCGTATTATCCTTATAAACTCTGCAGGGCGAAATACAATTCTTGCTCGTGCACTCGATCAAGAATTGCTTTTCTACGTAACAAGATTACGTTAAAATCGACCGTTAATTACTACGACGATGAAAATTTCGAGTCGAATAGAACGACATAATGTTCGTTGCCGTAGCAGTTGTGTTACTTTTTATTCATACCAATTATAAAACAATTTTTACAATTACACAGAATAATCCATAGTGCCCGAAGAATATTCGACAGAAATTCGCATAATCGTGTCCTGCGTAAAACGAATCCCTGAAATTTCATATCAAACGCTACGAGTTGAAACTGTTATCAAAGCTATCGGATCGACGCTTCTCGTATCGCATGAAAACAACGAATAAGTATTGTCGAAGCACGAGTCTTACCAAAGAACGTTCAATCCTGTCTCGTACGAGTATAAAGAAGTGTCTTTTTTATTTCGGACGATTATCGGCATCTCCAAGAGAAAGCGTCACCAGAGTGAAATACCTGTTGAAAGCGGATGGTGTGCCTACTTTCATGAATTCGCGGTGCAAAAAGAAATTATAACGCAGAACATTGAAGTACGTGTCAACGGTATATTGTATTATGCGTTATAAAAATCGCTATAGTGCAAATAAGTTCGATAAAAGTAAGAAAATTAATTGCCGCCTTCTTGGGTAACATGCTCCTGATTTGGGGCAGAAACGTGTAAAAGTTTCACTGCAACGCAAACATATAAAAGAAAAGAAAAGAAAAACTTAACTCTGCGTCGTTTAATCGACACAGAGGATCCTGCACATTTCAGAGAAACGAAACGTTTTTACACTTATACCAGAGAAACTAAAAAAGGAAGAAAATTTCTTTGTCCACGCGTAAGTTAAAAATTTGTAAAGATAGAAGTGTGCAAAATGAAAAAGTCAAGTTATGTTTCCCACGATAAATTCCGATAAATCGATCTGGTGTGACATAGACAGAAAAAGAAACGAAGTTGAAGCGAGAAAGTTTTTGGATTAATCGGTTTGAAACAACGTCCAATGCCCTACGAGTTTTTGTGCACACGAGGAAACACATTCGTTGTGACGTTACCAGATTATCCGAGTGTGTCGTTGATATTATCATACTGATCTGAGTTTCTGCGAAGCCAACTTGTCGCCGGGCGTTTTCCGCGACAAAATTTAACAGACGATCGATTGTACATGAACATCATCGCTTAGCCCTGATTAATAGCGATACGCGGTAGAAAGTGATAGTGGGTAGCATAGAGCGAAACATCGACATCGTGGATCGACGCGTCAGCGTGTTACGTTGAGAAGAGGCGGAAATCGATGGAAATTCGAGAGGCCAAACTCTAAGACAGAAGCTTGTCTTCCGGGATGGTAGGGCTGGTCGCTGCTGGTGCCGAACGTAACGATTCGGTTTCTCGTAGCATGTCGTTGAAGCTCTGCATGGAGCTTGATCTTGAAGGCACAACTTTCGTCTGGAACAGTAACGATCGATCCTTCAGAGATAGCACGAACCTTTTTAACCCTTTAACGCTCGTTTTGGGTTTTGGCAAAAAAGGCAATTTTGGTTAATTATTTGCTTTCACTTTTCATATTGCGCTAGCTTTTCTGTTCTGTTGCGAAAATGTAAGTCCCAGCATTAGAAGTAAATGGGAAAAACGACAAATTTTTTTACACCATGATTTTACGCATCCTAAGGAACGAAAAATGTAATTGTCATTTTTCCCGGAAATGATGGGAAATTTATGAAAAATGCGGTTCAAGGTAAAAGTATGACCATACACCTGTCCCCCGATTTACACGGATGATCGGTTCCTCAGAATACCGTGTAAATCGAAATCATGGCTTTTTGTATGAAAAACCGTGTAAATCGGGGGAAAAAAGAAAATGCGCATAATTCAGTCAGTTGTTTAATTAAATTCATTACACCTGTCCCCCGATTTGCACTGAAGATAGGTTCCTTAGAAAACCGTGTAAATCGAAAAGAAACTAAAATGTGCATAATTCAGTCATTTATTTCAACGTAAAATAAAACTAAATATATCTTAAAAAACATAAAAATAACGGTCTATTCGTAAAATGATAAAAATATAAAGGTATATGTATGTAATTCATTTTACATATAGAAACAACAAGTATAAATTAAAAAATTTAACCAAAAATTTCATTACTGTTATCACTTTCGTAGACTATTAATCTTTTATTCCCGGTTGGTATGATGTCACTTTCATCACTCGATAGTACTTGATGCGATTCAAGTTCGATGTTAGATGAATTAGAAACAATTTCAGATCGGCGAGCCTTGCTAATGAAATCCGTAATTAACAATTGTGTTTGGTTTTTGATCAAATCTTTATAGACCTCCTCATATTGAGTTAAGCGTTTATTAATATCTCGCTGAAATAGGAGAGCTCGTTCAACATTCGGGTCATTTTGTAGAAAATGATTACCCAATTTTAAAAACCGTGTAAAAGTGAAATCGTGTAAATAAAGTACCGTGTAAATCGGGGGATAGGTGTACTTAGGTATAACTTACATTCCGTCTCGTTTTCTTCGAACGATGGTCTGTTCGTAAACTAACCACTAAACATTAGTGTTTAATAAAAACCAAAAATAATTAACGACAAATTAATCGAACCAAGGAATTCTTTGATGACACGATGCTTATATTCTAAGCAATCAGAAGCCAATAGTTATTTATTCTCGAAGTGATAAAAGTTATAATAAACTATCGTAAATACAACATGTTATGATGTGCTCGTGGTAGTTGCAATCAACCTTCGAGCTTTGTCGAATTTAGCACGTGGTGTGCCGACTAAATCTAATAGGTTCGTCTTCGAAGGACCACCTCCGTGATTAGGAGGACAAAACAACTATTGCTAATGGTCTAAACTTCTAAAAGGAGCGACTCTTGGCGTGGTCAGATGACTTCTGGCGTTCCCTTCCGCGAAAGGTCCCACGAGTGAGGCCCTCGGATAGGTTGAGTACATTTTTCGATAGTGGTGGGGAAGGGTGGTTGGCGAAAACTATTGGTTAAAATCACAGGTGGAAAAGCTACACGAAAATGCCACCCCCCAGACCATAGGTCACTCTCAGGTGCCAAGCGTACTCTTGAGTGACGCACGCGGGAATTCCGAGTGCCTCGAACAATGACCGTAGCAGACAATAACGTTAAGACGCGCTTCGGCTCTGGTGACCATATGAATGCAAAAATGTACAAGTTAAAAAAGGGGCGAAGATTCTAAGTCGAAAACAGGGCAATAAAAGGTGAAAGCAAGTTCTTAGATTGAAAGACTACGATTGCCGTGGCGTCATAAAATTACCGCTGCTACGAAACGAGCGAAGGCGAAAAATCTGTACAATAGAACTACATGCTAAGAAATCTAAGGGTCGGGCGGCTGACATACCTGTCGAGGATTAAACACAATAAAATAATCGTCATGACAGGGATGCAATAAAAAAGTAAGACTCTAACAGAATTTGCATTTCTTAACTAACTTAAAAGCAAAACAACTGTTTCTTCGAGTCGTAACTCTCAGACAGCGAAGGATACTCTCGAGAGAAACTCGCGATAGTTTGACTCTGAGAAGGACAGCTATGTTTATGTTTGGCTCGATGTACGTACAGCGACCCAGGCTCGCGTTTCTTATCTTTGGCTCGCAAGAAATATCACGAGTTCTAAGAAGTTAAGGCCTCGAATTTTTCCCAGAACAGTTGCGAGCGTACAGCGATCGGAAATCGGGCAGGACGACTCGTCCTCAGTCGGTGTTTACGAGGCAGTCGAACGAGTGCCTCGACGAACGACGAACGTCGCTTATACTGCGCGATTATAGTCTTGTAGGGAATACATCGAACAACGCGTTTTCGATTATACTTAGCATATTCGTTCGTGTGAATCAAGTGCCGCTGCATACAAGAAGCTAGTGCACCGAATTCAAGTACACAACGAACAGCTGCAGTTTCATTGTGTCATCGAAGAATTCCTTGTTTCGATTAATTTGTCGTTAATTATTTTTGGTTTTTATTAAACACTAATGTACAACAATCTTCGTAAGTAGTACTCAATACGAGTTGCTAAGTGGTTAATTTACGAAGAGACCATCATCCGAAGAAGACGAGACGGGATATAAGTTGTAATATATTCCCAACATTTCCGGGAAAAGTGACAAATACATTTTTCCTTCCTTAGGGTGTGTAGAATCATGCTGCAAATAAATTTTTCGTTCCGGCCGCATGCCAAAATTGACCTGTTTTTAACATCCTCCTTTATTTTTATACGACTAGGAAGTAACTGAGGAAAATAGAATTGATCATATTTAGCACATCGAGTTGAGAGAAATGTGAGTGTTAAAGGGTTAACCACCTTAGTTTTCAAAGGTTATATTTGTGTCAATGTAATATCAGAGAAACGTAAACTCGACAACAGCAGAAACTGTGTTAAAACAAAATAAGACGATGGGTCAGAAAAGACCCGACGACTTAGCGTCAATTTCTATCGATTATCATGTAGGAAAAATGCATAACCACCTTCACATTCTCGTAAGCAGATCCAACACGTTCCTCTAGCGAACGAAAGCTGTCGGAATTGCGCATCTGGCCGAGTTTCATGGACAGTCCGCTTCCGAATCCACCTAGAATGCTGGTCGTCTTTTCAGCCGTGCTCTTGAACACGGACTCTGTCTTCTGGAATCTAGAGAAGGGGGTAATAAATATTCATTTTTCGCCAGGAAAACAGATCCTGTCGAAGCAAGGTCACGTTGCCTGTGGTCGCTGAGATGCCTTTGCTCGGGATTCGATAATAAATCAAGCCAATGATCAACCATGCATTTTATACTTCAAACAGAAATCCCACTCTCTCACATACACACACGCGTGTATTAGTCTCGCGTTCGTTAGCTCGATCAACGTTGCATATGTATGTATATAAGTATTATAGAAGCTTGTGTGCCTGTATTATCACTATTATGCAAGCGGCCTGTTAGAGAATGCGTTATCGCGACTCGAGGTCGATATATCAGTTTTCTATCTTGGATACTAAATCGGCTTGGCTAACGCGGTGCGTGCGTTTCTTTTCTTTCCTTCTTTCTTACTTCTGTTTCTGATCTTTTCGACAGCGTGATATTAGCACAACCCTTTAAGCGTTGCACGTTTCACACGTGCAGTGGGAGAACAACGTGCAAAGGACTTTGCTACAGCGAGGGAAGTTATGTACGCGGCGACACCTTGGTAATCGCGATCCAAAATTTCTCTTAGGTACGATGGAACAATGTGTGTCGATAGAAGAAGCGCGACTTAACCCTTTGACTGTTTGGATCGAGTGAAACTCGGGGAGAGCGCCGACTACCGAATAGTTCAGATCGAGAGAGACTCTTAGGCAGAAAGTTAGAAACGAAGGATTGAATTGTCAGGAAAATAAGAAAACAATCTTCAGGACTGTGACTTAGGATCGTGAATACTGTGCATTAAATTCATAATGTAATTCATAATTTTATCAGATTGCGAAAGGGTTAAGAAGAAACTGCATTTTAACGCTAAAAGAATATTCCAAATTGAATTCTGAGGTCAAAACCGAAGTTTGCCACGAACAGAACCTGCAGACTGCAAATATACGCTTATTCATAGCGTAATTGATAATTTTACTCGATCGTCGAAGGGTTAAGTTGCCGATAGACGCGGTTAATTGCCGACAGAAGAAATGTTGGATCGGAAGGATAACACGAATGGTTTGTGTGTACTTACAAAGTGTTCTCGGAGACCGCCTTGGTGAACTGACCGAGTTTCTCGCCGACGTTCTGATAACTGAATGAGAACCCAACCAAAAGTCAAAGAAAAGTGTTCTACATGTCTGAGGGGCAGAAGTAGCAGAAAATAAACGAAAAGGGGTACGGGAGGGGGCCGGTAACCGTCACCTTACGCGAAATTATATATTATTTCGAAATTAAATATACACAGTAGGTGAGTTTTTCTTTTTTCATCTCTCTAATGACGATTTTTTCATTATCTAATAACGTAAAGTAAATAGGGGGCGTTCTTTTACACAGTGCAAAATATTGAGAATGTACATAGACACAATTACAAGTTATAGCAACCTCGATATCTCTCTAGTGGCAATAAGCTTTCATAGCTTTAGCTTGAATCGTACAATTGTTCGCATGTGGCATTCGTAACTGTACTTTGGAGACTCAGGTAACAACAGCATGTCGTGGAATAAATTAAAACTCTGTCAACACTAGATTTACGTCAATTTTACGAGTTTCGGACTTCACGAGCGAAATTACAAAAACCATTGCTATTATTTCCTAGAAGTTTTTGCTGACTTTTGGAATGATACGAATGTATACCTAAATTGATTCTCCCCTCAGCCCTCTAATTTCAAAATTCTGTCAATACTGTGTAACTAAATTGTTTTTAAATGAAATTAATCGATTTTTTGAAGAAAATACGTATTCTCCTTTGCACGTCAATTTGAAGGGTGTCTGTAGAAATAGGTGTACAAGAAATGTCCGTAAATCTAGTGCTAATTACGATCGATCGTCAATCCGGAAGTTTATTTTTAACCCATTCACTGCGGCAGACTTTGTCAGACAGCAGAATCTTTTATTTCGGTCGCATCGTTGCGAAGTTTGTTTCATTAAATTACTATAAAAGTTCGCAAAAGATAAAACTGAAGTGAAAGCGCGCCAAAAAACGCTAACAGTACAGTGTGTACGAATTTTCAAAGCGCCAATAGCAACGAAAGGGTTAAACGTATGATTAAGAATTAAAGATAGACACTTTGCAAAAGTAAATATGTGAAATAGTGGAGAAACTAACGCGTGCTCTCCCAATTAACAGATCGAATAGAATAATCGATACGGTGTAAATAAATTGCACAATAATAATAGAAAATGAAACGTTCGAAGAATAAACCGATCATGCTGCTGAAAACCTAGCGCGTGACTACACTGGCAAAACCCAGCCAAGATTCCATTCGTGCAAAATGAGGGTGAAAGATAAAGAGAGAAGTGCGTGCTTCTAAACGGCTGAATAAAAACGTACACTTGACTCTCCTTAACGTTCTTCAAGCCTTGATTCATGTCGTCGGTGATCTCTTTCCAAACGCTGATGCCCAACTTCCTCTTCAACTCCTGAGAGACTCTGATCTTGTTCGCCAGCACGTGCCTCAGGGTTTGGATTTCTTCTTCCACCTATGACACGCCACTTCTTAAGCTTCGCGTCGCTAAGTAATTAATCGTTCGTGTTTCAATTTCTATCGTGTGTCTGTGTGTTGAACTTTTAACCCTTTGAAATGTTACGTTTGATTTTTTCAAATTCACCGCCCAAAATGGACAAATTTCTTTTCGCATGAATTCACGTTCTGTGGACATTGTAGCGTATTCTTTTTTGCATTTTTAGCGGTGTACGAAGTAGTTTCACGGAAATAGAGAAAGAAAAGCGAAAGATCGGTCTGTTTAGAGTATTAAATATTAAATTTAGTAAAAAATGACAATAGTAAGAATAGAAAAAAATAACACTCAAAATTATATAAAAGAAGGTCGCTCAAAGACTAAAGGAATTACTTAAGGAACTGCGAGTTTGGACAAATTTAAAAAGATACACAATAATATGAACGTGAAATATTTGTAATAATGACAAATCTGTGAAAATTAAAATTTCCACTGTTATTCAATTTGTTCTACTGAAATGGAACAGTAGTAGTAATTTATGTGCCTGTCCATGGGAACTGTTAAGCAGTTAATTTAATATTCAGCAACAAAGAACGCGTATAAAAAATTTTACGAGGTAATTCTGCGTGTAACGTCGAACAAAAATGAAAAAAACATTTTATCATAAAAGTTAGTCCACCGTACACCGGTGAACGTGATAATTATGATTGAAAACAGTGACGTAGGCGTATCACGAACTTACCTTGCGGAAACTGGGGAAAATTACATTAGCCTGATACGCTTGATACATCAAGATTAACCCTATAGGATTTTCGAGTTGAGAGGATTAACACCTTTTCTAGTTCACAAGTCAACGTAATCCAATTGACTTAGCTTTACAAGCAACCACCCGGAAGTGGTGCTAATCTCGAAAAGCACTTCGAATTATTCGATCTATAATTTTGTTTAAAAAATCTCGTTATCAGAAACGAAGGAAATATTTTCGTTAAATTAATCGATACAAAAAAATGATTAGAATAGAATAGCAAGAGAAGTATTTAAATCTGAAATTTTCCGAAATATTATGTTATTCTTTCACGTTTTCGAGAATTAAACTAATCAGAAGTGGTTTTTAACGGTCAGTAGGTTTTTCTACAGTTGTATTTCGCTATTCCAGCTGTTTAATATTTTCTGTGGAAAGAAAAAGAAGAATGGTTACATACCTTGGCCAGCTCCGCGTTCCATTCCGCCTTTTGACGGTTTTGCTCGTCCAAAGAAAGTCCTTGCAGCTCGTTCACCACGTTATCCGATGTTGGTGAGATGTAACCGGCCGAATTAAGAGTTGCATCTTCTCCTGTAACAGAAGTAGTTTGTTGGAAAATGTGCGAATTATTGTACACACGCGTGTAAATGTTTCGAGATAAACGCTATTGATACTTCGTCAAATACTTGACAATTCTATCAATCCCTTGTTTTATGATTGTTTTTTTTAAACACTAACCATAATTTAACCCTTTGCGATCGGCACATTTCTCTGGTGGGACTACCAGCTAGTCGGAGCAAATTTAGATTTTTAAAGTTATTTTTGCATAGTTGATTCATTATATATATATAAGGATATTGAAAAATATAGGATATTTTGAAATTGATATATTTTGTTTAATATTAGTTATAGTGCATAAAAATAAAACGTTTTAAACAGAGGCTATCAGAGAATCGTACCAGTTTCTCGGTGAACCAAGACTGATTACAAATTCCTTTCGCAATACGGAAAACAGACTGGGTATGCAAAAGTAAGGAAATTAAACTATTCCCTAAAAAGTAAGCTGTGAAATTTCACACAAATGCTTCGAAAGGGATTGTACAGGGTAATTAATATATAGCGGCGACACCGATTTCTAGAAGAAAATTGAAATGCCGCCACTATGGCGGCACCGATCGCAAAGGGTTAATATATCAAACATAAGTAGCATGCGTGTCGAAATGTAACATGTTCTATTTCACGTGGTAGATACTGTTAGAAAAAGTTTTATTTAAAAAAATTCACTACGATTTGCAGGACAAAACAAATAAATACTTTCTCGTAATTTTTGTAACTTTTAAGTTTCGTATCTTAAATGTGAAAAATATTTGAATAACATATTTTTGGGACTTTTTCAAGACACATCTGACTGAAAGACGCCGATTTTCATGAAAAGTGGGTGAAACGTGTCCTAGAACCAAATTTGTCTCGCGATTCGACAGCTCGCCAAAAGAGAACATTCGACACTAAGTTTCAATCCTCCGGGAAAATTCGGATTATCAGTGTTTGCTCTATTTTCCCAATTTACTGGACTGCAAAGATTTTGCATACGTTAGGGAATTTTTTCCGATTTTTTATAAATATAATAAGAGAAACGCGAAATACGAAACCAGTGATTCGGTAAAACACAAGTGCAATCGATTCTTAATAAGTTATGAAATACGCGAGAATCTAGTGTCGCGAATCAAGTCAGACGCAAACGTACCACTTACAAGGAAAACACGTGAAAAGTATAGCACTCGAATTGCAATGAAACTTTGTAGGTCGATAAAGAACCGAAAGTTGTACGGTTAGGATCAATTTTCTCAATTATTCTATGAAATATGTAATAACAAAGGTGTTATTCAGCCGCTAGCGTAACTGCTATGCCTGTAAGTACTTAGGCTGGAAAACGATGATCCGTGATTCGAATTCACCTTGAGTGACAATTTTCTTTTCCTGTTTGTTCTGTTCAACGTTTATTTCCGTATGAAACTTTTCTAGTAACCTTTTTATATGTAAAAATATTATTTATAATATTGTACATTACATAGATCGCATTCCTATGGACGGTATTTATCATAAAAGCAATTGAAGCAAAAGTATCGTTAATCGCTTCTCTTTAGTGGATTGGATATTGACACGAAATATTAATACAATTATAACACAATATATACAACGGTGTAATCAAATATAATTCAAATATCGATACAATATTAGGCGTGATCGTCGCAACGCACATTTCTCCATTTTATCAGGCATTGTTCGAAATTACACAAACATACTACGATTAAAATAACAAACATATTGTTCATATAAGAAGAGGAGAGCCATGACCAATCCGTTGATACTATTTTCATAAAGACAGGATGAAAACTATAGAAGTTGAAATTTTCGTCGTTGGATGACTCATTGTTACATACGCGGCGGTATCCCTTTCAAATGCCGCGTCGCGCTTACTCACGCTACGTATCTTATTCACTTTCCTCGTCGATATGTTTAACTTTGCCGAGCACGAGGCACCAATAACGCAGCGGTAGTTCAAACTTAACAGTTTCACTGCCACTCGAAAATCGAAAAAGGGTATGTGCCACCGATTCGTAGTCTCAGCGTGGGTAGAAATTCGTGATTATGTAGTCGCCTAACGCACAGTGGCGGCGTCGACTTTTGATGTGACCGACTCGACACGCACTGTCGGCGATGATACACAAGGTACCGCATTCCAGACCGCATACTCTGCGCTCGTGACAGCGACGTGTTAACCGTGCAGATTTCAAATTTAGCCGAGCAGATTTCGAATTTAACCGAGCACCGGTTTTAACAGTGCAGAATTTGAAATTTAACCGAGAACCAATGATAACCGTGCAGATTTGAAATTTAACCGAGCGCCACGTGTAAATGAATCAAGAAAATCAGGAAAAGCCTACGTAATACCTTATCGACAGAGCCATAGCGTTGATTACTTCTTGTACTTAATACGAGAGAAGTGAAAATACGTAGAAATGTACTGCAAAATCATTCTTTGAATGGAAAAACTGATAATTTACTGAACTTGTAACTAATATGAGAAAAACAATTTATTTACATTTGTAAAAAACATTGAAACAGTATACAGTTTTCTTGTAAACTGAAAATCGATTAAATCTACGGTATTTGTGTGATTTAGCAAAAATAAGCACGGATTGGACTCGGAGCAGATGTTTAATATGTAATTCGTGAATTCTGAACGTGTTTAGAATAGATGAAAAAGTTGAAATTCGTTCTATCAAGGAAAAGTCAGCACGGATAATCGATTTGACGCGATATCGACTCTTCCGTCGATAAGGTGTTAAAAAGGAAACGTAGAAAACCCTGTTTTATCATAGACCAACAATATTCGAATTTTCGATACTGTTACCTGAAACTCTACATTTTGCGCGAATTATAATGCTGCACCTTTTACCAATTCGAGGAACTTCTTGTAATTCCGGCTGCTACTGATTTTGGCCAGATATGGCTTTGAGAAATCTTGAAATATCACTCGGACAGATTTCCTTTTCCTTCGCCAGCGACTGGTGGCGCCGTCCTCGGCGTCTGGTGTCAAAAACTCCGTCTCTATCGAGAGATTAGCGTCGTCCACCACGATCTCGTCTATATCGCCGTTCGAGTTTCGCCAACAATGGACAACGATCTCATCTGCGTCGTCGCTAAGCTCGTCGATGTCGTCGAAACTCGGCGTGGCCGTCAGGTTTGAATAATAAACGTCTTCTTCGTATTCCAACGACTCGAACTCGTGTTCATTCTCGCTCGAACAGTTCTGCTCGCTCTGCTCTTGACGTACTCTTGTTTTAGAATCTTGTTTGGCCAGTCTCGAACGATCTTCCACTTTACCCTGTTCCTTTTTCATGTCTGTCATGTCGGTTTTCATATCAACGAACGAAGACGCTTCACTTTTTCCAAAGCTCGAACTTTTTTAATTACAATCGAACTGAACAGGTTAGGATATCGATACGTGACAATGTTTGAAAGACGAATTGAAAACAGTAACATGAAAGAAAGTACGTTTCACTCAGAGTTCGTTCGACTGAAATTCGACGCTGGAAACCGAGAACTTTTACGACATCGCGAAATCATTGCCATATTAAATGAAACTTATGCTTTTACCGTTCAACCCGTCTTTACTTCTTGCTTATCGGCTGAAACAAGTTTCTCCGAGGAAATCGTTTACCATAATTCGCGTCGATTCATCCACTACGAACGGTCACGATCAATACAGCGATTTCTAATATACATAGATCACAAAACGTCGATCCAACTATTTTCGAGAAAAGCTAAACAGACAAAACTCTCTCCCCGGTTAAAATCACTAGTCTCACTTTTGCAAATGACGCGGTGTTCAATCGCACGTTTACCGCGTAAACAATAGAAGTTGTTGAAGTTAGATGTCGCGACGAATTTTTCGCGGGAAAATCAGCGTTCTTAAATTACAGATACTTTGTTAGAACAGAACTAAGGATAATCTACAAAGATTTTTAGTAACGATTTAGTTGACCATGTGTATCAATCAGCGCGTGCAGACGACGATCACAGCTGGCACGATCGCGCTTCGTTTTCCCGACGCGAGAAGATCGCAGGTTTCCGATTTTGACCGTCCGCGACGCCAGTGTCGTGCAGCCACGTATCCAAGAAGAAAAGAAATTGTGGCCACTTACTCGTTCCTCCTTCTGAAGGTAAAAAGGGAAGGGGCCTGGATTTCTCCCACCATCTCTCCTTTTGTGCCTGTCTTTCTTTATCTAGCTTGTTAATAAGTCAAAATAAACCCCTTCCGTCAAAATTTCCGTTGAATTTATGTTTCAACAACGGTAAGAATCATTTTTCATTCGTTGCTGACAGTTTCCTATTTTTATATTACACATCTACAAAAACATGCAATTATCGACTTTACTATGTGTCGGTAAGTAGTTCGAATCGTTTACCGTTTTCGTTTTCGCATTCTGTAAAATTGCATAAAACAATAAAAATATTAACGAGCGAAGGAATCATGCTCGATTATTAACGAGTCCTGTTTCGATTCTGTTCGTCTGATATTGTGAGCTGTGTTCTTTATTTTACCACGACTATAGGCTAGGTTCAATGCACGTTTCACGGCAAACGAAAAGGAGATTTATCGACGGCAAAACATTGGATCGAGTGGAAAGAAAAAAAGTCTGTGCCTGTTCTTGCGAAGGATTTCGTTGGATGAAGATGACGGAACGGAATTTTCGATAGCTCGTCGACCTCGATATTAAGTTTCCTCTTCTAACGTGGAAATATAAATAATAAATAACATTGAGAGCTATCTGTACTTTTTTGTATTATATAAAATTGTTATTGGAAAACTGATAGTATCAATTGTGAGTGAAAGCGAAATACACTTATATAACTTTTTCTTCGAATCGATTATACAGTTCCGGAAATTTTCCCTACGTATGCTGCATTTCCTAGTAAAATTCCACGATAAAACTCAAATTGAAACTATTGTATATTGAAGCACATAATAACTAACTCAAAAAGTTTCGTTGCAATACCTAATAAAGCAGAAACCTGTAAAATTAGTACGTAGCTACAGAGGCGTATATAAAATACGTTAACAAGTTCTAAACATTATTTTACCTACAACTGTTAACCCGTTAACCACCAAAGGTAGGAAAAATACAATTCTCTTTAAATATTATTATTTTAAAAATTCTAATTTTAATTATGTCAAGACATAAAAGACTATGTCCTTTGCAACTTAAATTGGATTAAACTGAATTGCTAAGGCAATATAATATTTTTTATTAGTTTCTGTAAAATGTTTCATTCGTGCAACTTTGGGAATTGAAGGGGTAAACGCAGCAAGCATATGATAGTTACAAAAATAATGCAAAAAAGAAATCGGAAGCGACAACAAACGGTTTTATAAGCGTATTTTCGATATCAAGGCACATCACAAGGCTAAAGTTAGAATGGATTCTACGTGATCCGGTTCATCCGTTTCTTTCGGTTCGATGCAGTTCTAAATACGGCCCTCCCTCGGTAACAGGAACCTCAAGGTTAACAGCTTGCTGTCGTAATAATCCAGAAACGACGTGACCGATCGTTTGGAAATATGTCAGTTTCAAATGCTATTGCAATTCTGTGAATTTATATTAATCATTTACCTGTATTCGTGATCTTGTACTTGTCTTGAAAGATCTCGATTAGATTTCTAGTTTTTCCAATAATCTTTCAGGACGAAATTAATAAACGTCAGATATTTTTTTTTATAATTTATTTATATATTTCCATTTAAAAATATGAATTCCATGCGTTATTCAAATTTTCTTTTGT